GCAACCCCCCGTTCCCACCACCTAGCCCCCAGCTCAGCATCATCCTATCCCCAAACCCTCCCCAGACTGTGCTTCCCAAAGCCCCTCCCACTCCAGAGGAGGAGAAGGTGTTGGTGGTCAAGAAGGTTGGGATCCCCTCAGGGACCCCCTCGGGGCAGTACTTCAGCTCCCTGCACACCTTGCTCTGTGACACCATCTCGGGCTCAGTGTCCCGCTCCTCCCCGGAGCTCCTGCGGCAGTGGCTGAGGAAAGCTGAGCTGGCAGAAGAGCTGGAAGAGGTGCCCAAATCCCTGCCCAGCCCCAAAGATGGCTCCAAGGCTCCCTATGCTCAGAAGCCCAGCAATGGCAAGGAGATCTGGCTGGCTTTCCAGGACGTGGCCGCGCTCCTCACCAAGCTGCTCTCCCAGCTGAGGACCTTCATGTCCGCTTGCCCTTTCCCGCACGTTGTCCGGGCGGGAGCCATCTTCATCCCCATCCACGTGGTGAAGGAGAAGCTCTTCCCAAAGCTGCCCGGGAGCTTTGTGGACCAAGTGCTGCAGAAGCACAAGGTGGAGCTGCGTCCCACCACTCTCTCGGAGGAGAGGCACCTGAGGGAGCTGGAGCTGAAGAGCTGCACCTCCCGCATGCTGAAGCTCCTGGCGATCAAGTGGCTTCCTGAAATCTACCCTGACCTGCTCAACCTCCACTGGCACAGCTCCATCCAGCAGCAGCTCGGTAGGTAGCCTGGCATCTCCTGGGGATGGGTCCCTGTGGCTGTCCCAGGGTTGTTCCAGCTACATCTGCCCTCCAGGTGCTGCTCTTCTTGGGGAGCATCCAAAGGTGCCTCAGCATCCCTCTCCTACTGAAGGCTCTGCCCAGGTTTTCCTCCGTGGGTTGTGGAAGGGGGAAAGTTTGAGCTGGGAGGGAGAAAACTCATCCTGGGCATGTCAAGGAGGTTTCAGACAGTTCCAGGCCACCTCTGCCCGTCCAAGGGCACAGTGTCAGACCTTTCACCCATGGCTGTCCCATCCAGCTGATTACTTCACTGCTGTGTCCAGATAACCTTTTGTTGCTGCTCAAGGCCATTAACAGCACCTTTATTTCTTCCAGATTCAAGCTCAGAGACTGGCCAGCAGCCTTCCAAGTAAGTAACTCCTCTTCCAAAGTGAGTTTTTAGGAATTAATGGGATTTGTTTGTCATTCTGTTGAGGGGTATGTATGTGGATTTCATGTGATGATGAGCAGCTGGAGCTGGCTGGGGAGGCTCTGCTCCTGGGTATGGGCTGGAGCTGGGAGTATTCAGGATGTGGAGATGTGCCCTCTCTAATCACTCCTTCCTCTCCCAGGTAGCCCTGGCCTGGAGGCACTGAAAACTGATGGCAAAGCAACAGCCACAGAGAGATCAAGGAAAAGGAGGCACTGAGGAATGTGCCAAGGGCAACAGCCAAATGATGACAGGAATGGGAAGCTCCTGAGTCCCCAGAGCCGAGGATGCTGACACCACCAGCAGCCCTGCAGGCAGGTGCTCAGGTCCCACCGGCATCAGGATTGTCCAGGATGCTGATACCTTGGCAGGGACCCTCTGGGATGCTGCTCAGGGTGGACAACAGCTCAGGGGTGCTCCAGGGACACACACAGGGATGCTGCTGGCAGGTTATCTGGGCCTGCAGGCATGGGCTCGAGCCCCTCATGGCAGCTGGAGCTGCTTTTCTTTGAATGGATCATCTTTCAGTGCATCTCCCGCCTCCATCCGTGATTGCCCTGGTGAGCTGAGAGGGAATGGCTGGAGTTCCAGTGGAGCTGGAGCAAGAGGAGCATGGAAATGGCCACAGCACCGTCCCCAGCCTTGGAAAAAGGGACTGCAGGGATGACATCCCACCTCCTCCTGTCTCCTCTGAATCCCCCTCCTGCTTTATCCATGCCTTTCCCAATAAACATCCCCTTCCTCTGTGGTTTTCACCTTTAAAGTACCACCAAGACCGGGCACAACAGCAAGGGCAAGGGAATCGTGACTTCCATAGTCCCAGGACTAAGTTGGTTTTGTCATAAATGAAGACATTTTACAAATGTTCTGGATTAACCTTTATAAGGAGCTGCTGCCTTCAGGTCATGTGTTTTGGGTTGGTTTTTTCTTGAAATAGAGTAATTTATACATGTTTTTTTATTTAAACTAAAAGGCTGCAAGAAACTCTTAAAGAAAAGAAAACCAAATCACTTCATGTCCCAGATCCTGTCCCAAAGGAGAACGTGGGAGATGCACATTTAGGGACCACCTTGGTAGAGACTGAAGGGGCACAGAGGGGAATGATGCTGCCAGACCTTGGAAGGAGGGATCCTTTGATCTCAAAGGGTTATGGGCATGCCAGGAGGGATGTGGGCATGCCAGGACTAATGGACAGCCCCTCACCCTGGGGGGTTGCAGCAGGGTACACAGCAGAGGCCTTAAAAACTCATTGCTCAGGTGTTCTTCAAGCTGCTGCAGAGCACGGAGGAGAACCAAACAAGGGTTATTCTAATTTTTTATTTCACTACAGGGAATATTTATTTTAAACTAAGAAGATGGGGTGGGGGGGGTATGGGTAGAAATGACCCTACCCAAACTGTACTTATTTTAGCCAAAAGGTGTGTTTGCTACTGGGGGATTTCTGTGAGTGCCTTCCTGGTTTTCTGTAGGGATGGGGTGGCTGTAGATGTGAGGGAGATGCTGCTGTTCTCCTCACTCCCCCCCACCACCCCATGCCTGTGCACAGTCATTTGGAAAGCAGTGTTTGTTAATAATGTTGGTTTTGTACGTATATAACGTTCCAGGGAAGAAAGTTCCTTCCCTTTAATTTTTTTTGTAAGAATATGAAGAGTTGCCTCACCTGATTTAAATGAGTTTGGCTTGTTTCCAGACATGCCCTGTTTCTGTCTCTGCTTCCCAGCATGGGCACAACGGGACCTTCCTGGGGCTGGAGGGTCCCCAGATCCCCCACCCCATGCACTTGCTCTCTTATCCCTGCAGCAAGCCACAAGTGCTGTGCCCAGCCCCTCTGTGCCATCACTGGGGGCTGGATCCAGTGTCCAGGGTGCCACCACAGGAGCACATCCCAGCCCTCACAAACCCCACGGGTGACAGCCTGGGAAAAGGCTGCTGGTGCATGTCTGAGCACCAGAAACTGGGCAGGAGAGTCTGGGGTGCTCAGGGATGCAGCCTGGGCTGAGCCAGTGGGACCCCTTGAGACTCTCCCACTTGTGAGCCTCCATCAGGCACAGAATCTGCCTGATCCCAAAAGCCAAGTGCTGCAATCCACGTTTGTCAGCCCCAGCTGGTGGAGCCCAGCAGGTGAACACTGCCACAGCCTCACAAACAGGGAGTTTTGGGGAGCATCAGCAGGGTTTGGGGATCATCCTGCCTGGAGGGATAGGCCCACCCCCTCCTTCTGCTGCTGAATGCTCCATGAGGAGCAGAGGGAAGCTGAGACCCCTCCAGTTTCACCTGGGGAAGCTCAGATGAGTTTGTGTTAATTGGGAGCAGCTGGGACAGAGCCACATCCTCCCCTGGGAAAGCAGATAAAAGCCAGGGCTTGGCTGGGCCTTGGTGTTCTCTCCTCCTGGGCTGCTGCTAGGTGAGGGGTGCTGGGGGCCTGGCATTCCTTGGGGAGGTGTCTGGGGATGAGGAGGGTGTTTGGGGCAGGGAATGAGGGAATTCCTGAGCCCGGGGCTGTTACAACCCTGGGAGCTTCCCAGGAGGTGCTGAGGCTCGGCACAGCCTTTCCTGAGCTGGGAGCCTGCTGGGGACAAGGGAGTGGTTTTAATGAGGAGCTCAGGGGATGGGAAGCTTGGGAATGGGGCAGGCACTGGGATGTGGGAGCTGCAGAGACTCACCCTCAATCTCCTGCTGTCCCTCTCCACAGCTGAGCTCTCGCCGTGGCCTCTCCCGAGAGGAGCCGAGGGGTGGGAGCACCGAGAGCCCCCCTGCAGGCAGGAACGATGCTCCGTGCTGCGAGGGGAGGGGCTGCGGGCACAGCCGCGTGTCCTGCTGCCCGCGGGGCTGTCCCTGCCCGCAGCCTATGCTGCAGAGCCCTCCTGCTGCTGGCCGTGTGTGTGTGCGCCACTGCTGTCCCCTACGGCCTGGCTGCTCTGGCTGCTGTCACCTGGGCTCCCCCGGGCTCACCGGCCTCCCAGCCAGGGGTGGGTGACACTCTGGGGACAGCCTGTGGGGACGTGCTCTCCTCGGGCTGCTTCCCAGAGATCCAGGGAGTTGTGAGCCCTGGGGGAGAGAGCCTGGGGACACAGACTGCAGCCACAAGGACATCGGAGACCTCCCTGCAGGACCAGCCTGGTTCTGGGGACAGGGACGGGCTCAGGCTGGGCACAGCAATGGCTGTCACATTGTCCCCCACACCGTGGCCTGGCAAAAGGGTGCCTGCTGCCCCAGCCCGGCTCTTCCAGCCTGAGGGTGTTCCCAGCCCTGGCTCCTGGGGTCACCTTGCTCGGGGTGGCCTCCACAGAGCAGGACCAGGTGGTGCCACACAGATGCCAGCAGTGACTGCAGCTGGTGGCCTGGGGCAGCCAGCGGGCACAGCAGAGCCCCAGAGCCCACTGAGGGGCTCTGAGGCCACCTCCAGAGCTGGGAGTGAGCCAGCTGCTGGGGTCCCTGCCACCTCCCAGCTATGGCTGCACCCTCCTGCCCTCCCCACAGCTGCTTCTGGCCCCTCTGCAGGGGCTGCAGTGACACAGATGCCACCCAACCAACTGGTGCCACTCCAAGGGGCAGCTGTGGGGTCTCAGGTCCCACCTGATGTTCCCGCACGGGCACTGATGGGTGCTGGCTCCTGGAGCCCCAGCCCAGCAGAGCAGGTGGTGGCCTCTGCTCTGCCAGCACAGGGGAGACCCAGCTGGGCCCAGCTGAGTCCTGGCACACTGGGGGCGTCTCCTGCCCTGGCACCAGAGGGGCTCTGGGACACTGCTGGCACTGCCCTGCCTGGGGCAGCTGCTCCCTTGGTGGATGCTGGGTTGACCCCGGCTCCAGGAAATGGGTCTGGACTCCTGGATGCTGTCCTGGCATCACTTCCTGCCTCTGCAGCAGCTCCTGCTGCCCACCATCAGCACCTGCTGGCTTCTTCCCTTCCCACGGTGGCCTCTGGGGCTCCTGCTGTCACCCTGGAGACACAGAGTGAGTCGCCTTCTCCCCCTGCACAGCCCATGTCCACAGGAGCCTCCCCAGCACAGCCCAGGGCTTCCAGCCCTGCAGGTCCCACCGTGACTGGGATGGGCTCCACAGCCCCTGGTGTCACCCCAGAGCTTGGACAGATGTTTGTGACGGGAGAATTCAGGACAGCATCAGTGGGAGCCGTTCCCACTCCAGCAGGAGCTCCAGGGCCCAGCCCTGCCAGCCCAGGCTCCGTGCCTGCCCCCTGCTCCACGGACCCAGCTCTGCAGCGTGGCTCTGAGCCTGGGTACCTCACTGCCACCAGCAGCAATGTGACCTCTCCATCCTGCCTGCTGAGCTCTCCTGGGGCTGGGCATGCAGCCAGCTCCCTGCCCAGCTCCCAGAGCCTGGCTGTGCCCACAGCCCTGACCCTCCGTGTCCATGCCGTGTCCAGTGGCTCCAGCGCTTCCCAGAACTCCTCCACAGCCACGGAGCAGCTCCCTGCAGCCACCAGAGAGGCCTCCAGCCCAGCTGAGCTGATGACAAAGGGCAGACCTGGCTCCACAGGGACAAACCCCCCTGCATCCCACCCCTGCAGCCTGCCCTTGCCCACCCAGCCTGTGCACGTGCTGCCCCTTCAATTCCGGCTGCTGGGCATCGCCTACGCCCCGGCTCTGGGCAGCAGGAATTCCCTGAGCTACCGGCAGCTGGAGGGAGATGTGACACTGATGGTGGGTGCTGCAGGTGCCTGGGGCACATTTGGCATTTTGGGCTCTGGGATGGTGCCAGGCCCTGCTGGGGGGAGCAGCCTGAGTGCTGCACCAACCCTTGGCTGGTTGGGTGCCCACCTGAGCAGGGTGGGGGTGGGCAAACCCTGGCACTGCTCCACTGGAGCTTGGTTTGAGCTGGGACTGGGCTCCCCTCACCCCTGGCAGCCAGCAGGGCCCTGGCACAGGGCATTATTGCTGGGGTATTCCCTCCCAGGATGGGGGTGGTGGCTCTGGGTATCCCAGCTCATGCCCAGGCATTCCCAGAGAGCTGGCACTCCATGGGGTGCCAGCGTGCCCTCCCCTGGCAGCCTGAGCTGACTTCCCTCTATTTATTGCCCACCTGCTCCTGCATTTCCCCTTCTCATGGGGGAGCTTAGAAAACCTCCTCAATTAATTACCAGGTGCTTCTTCCTTCCAGCTCAACCAGATGCTGTCCAGCTACGAGAGCTTCCTGCAGGCAAATGTCCTCGAGTTCATGTGAGTGTGCATCTGCTCTGGAGGGCTGGGGTTTGTAGAACCAGAGGCCTCAGGGAGCCACCCTGGCCTTAAAGAGAGTCCTGAGTAGGAGAGCAACTTGTTACACTTTGATAGAGACTCTGTTCCCTTGGGAAAGGTGCATTCCAGAGGAATGGCTGCAGCCATAAACACCACGGGTGAATGTTTTTCCTTTGGCTCCAGAAGGCTGGGAAGTGGATGTTGGAGTGAATGGCTGATAAGGGCAGAAACCTTGTGTGCTTTAATGAATGTTTGGTGGTGGAGGATGTTTTGGCTTTCCTCTTACATACATATTCCTGAGATATTCTTCAACCTTTCCCATGCTAGAAACATAAATATTGGAGTGTGTGCAATAAAGATGGATCCTGCTAGAAGAAGCAGTGGTCTCTCTTTGTTTTTTTCCAAGCTGCTGCAGCTTTGGATTGGAGGGAAGAGTTTGCCCAGAAAATGCTCCAGACAGGAGCACTGAGGGGCTTCACTCCCTCCCTGGTGTCACCATCCCAAGGGATCCCTGTCTAAATTCCTGGATAAATGCACCTGGAAAGAATAAAGCAGTAGGTGTGCTGCCCACTGTCTCCTGTCCCTCCAGGAATGGCTCAGTGGTGGTGAGAGGGGAGGTTCTGTTCCGGGGGGATGCTCCTGCTCCCACCAACTCCCACCTGATCCGCACAGTGGTCACAGAGGCAAGCAAGGGAAGGAGCATCTTCAGCTGGCAGCTGGAGCCCCAGTCTCTCCAGTCTGCTGGTAAGTGCTGAAGATCTTCCCACAGCAGGGCTGCTGCCAGGTGCCCTCCTTGTGCCTCTCTCCAAGCCAAAACCCATGCAGTTTGGGTTCCAGGCTTTTCCTTCACTGAACATCCCTGTGTAAAGCCACTGTAAGGATGTGGAGGGTGGTGGAGGGCACATCTGTAGCAGCTGGACCTGTGTGGGCCAGGGCTTCTGCTCAGCTCCCTGACCTCCCCTCTTTGCCCCAGCTCTGCTGTGCTGGGAAATGGTTTATCCCAGCCCCTTCCCACATTCAAAGGGATCCCTCCTCACTCAGCTGCCCTGCTGCTTTCTGCTTTTGGTGTGTGGCCATGGATGAGCTCTGGGCTGAACACTATCTCCCAAGGAAGCTGCAGGAACAGGTCTGAGTGTAACTCTTCCCAACTCCCTTAGGCTTCAGCCTGGAGAACCTGGACCCAGAGAAGCTGTCCATCTCCCTCACTGGCTCCCAGCTTGGGGTGGACAGGATGGATCTTCTGGAGAGGCTGGTCAGAGAGGTATGCCAAGCCTTGGGGGCTCTTCCAAAGGGAATGGGCACAGCCTGGGTGCTGGATTAACCTGTGCTAAACAGGGAAAGGTGTGAACTGTTGTCTCCTCCCTGCACAGGTAACTGCATCTGTCAGTGGCCTCTATCACGTGAGGAACTTCACCATCTCCCAGCTCAGGTATGGGGTGCAGCTACTCCTCTGCCAACCTCTTAATTTCATTGCCCTCACTCTGTCCTGTGCCCTCTGCAGCTCATCAGCTGTGCTGCAAGGATGGAGGAGATGGGAAAAGCTGGGAGGGGATGTGCAGCTGGAGCAAATTGGGATTGAGCTTCTTCTGTGGGGGTCTCAGGAGAAAACCACCAGTAAATGTGCTGGGGCCGGGTCCTAACCCTCCTGCCTTGCTCAGAGCTCTTCTCTGCCCTCAGGAACCTGGGTGTGAACACTGAGATCACTGGAGACCTCTACCTAGACACAGTTGTCCATGCTGACGTTACGGAGGTCCTGGAAGCCCTGACTGCACTCTCAGGCCTCTCCATGGACCTGAGCTCCATCTCTGTGGAGGGTAAGGATGGTCCCCGTGTGTGCTGTGGGCAGGGTCGCTGCCAAATGTGCTCAGCCAATGCTTGTTTCCTGTTCCTCAGGGTCCAAGCTGGGTCTGCTCGTGTACCCTCTGTCCTTTGTCGTCACCAACAGACCCTTCAGCCAGAAGCTTCAGGATCCTCTCTCTGCAGAGCACCACAATCTCTCTAGGGACCTTGGTGATGCGGTAGGAATGGAGCTGGTGGGAGGAGGGCATTGATGTCCTCCCAGTGGGATGAGAAGGGAGGGAGAGGGGCTGGTTTGGGGTGTCCAAACTGCCCCAAAAGCTGGCAGGGAGCTGAGCACACCCTTTCTTCCAGGTGGCCAGAGCCCTGAGGGATTACCCATCCTTCCTGATAGCCATCATCAAAGAATTCCTGTGAGTGGGAGCAGGGGTTCTGCTGGGCAGGGCTGTACAGGGGCAGGGAGGGCTCCCTTCAGCCATCAGCCAGCAGGTCACGGCTGACAGCTGCACGTTTTTGGTGACAGAAGGATTTGCAGAGGAAGCTGAGGTCAAGCATTAAGCCATTGTAGCAGTGGTGACTTGCTGGATCTCCAGGGATGTCCCTTCCATCCCAGGGCTCCCTGAGTGCAGAGATCTCTTCCTGCTGAGCAAATCCCTCTGTGAGGAGGCTGGGAGTGCCCACCCATCCCACTGTGGGGTCATGATGGGATGGCAGCTGCTGGAGCTGTTCCCAACCCTGTCTGCAGGCCTGGCTCCTTGCTCTGCCATGGGAACATGATCTTCCGGCACCCCGCTCCAACCAGCGTGCAGGTGCTGAAGACCCTCGTGCGCTCGGTGGGGCCAAACCAGGCTCTGGCTGGCTCTGACATCCATGTGGATCCATTCTCTCTCTCTGTGGGAGGTAAGCTCCCCTCTGGCACCTGGGTACCTGAGCTCCACAGACCCCACACCTGCACTGTGAGCAGGGTGGATCCACAGCTGACCCCATCCTGATCCCTTGTGTGCAGAGAGGCTCAGGTGTCTTGGCTGCTGAGGTGAGCAGGCAGTGACATTTAGTAACAGTTGTGCCCTTTGCCTCTGCATGGCCTGGGGCATTGGGCTTGGGGACTTTCTGCTGCAGGCTGGTGTGGGATGGGAGGAGAAGGCATGGAGGGAGTGGAACAGGAGTTCATAAATCCCCTGTGCTTGTCCTGGGGCAGAGGGTGGCTGGCAGCCTGTGGGGCAGAGCAGCTGCTCCAGGCTCTCAGTGCTCTGCTTTGCTCCAGAGGACACCCTGGAGCGTCCCAGGCCCCAGCCAGGCTTCCCAGCCTATGGAGTGGCTTTGGTGGTCATCGGTGGCCTCTGCATCGTGGCTGCGCCCGTCGTGCTTGTGGTGAGGGCCAGTTCTGTCTGCTGGGCTGGGCCAGCAGCCCTGGGCTGGGCTGAGGGGCTCTGTGGGGCCAGCTGGGGCTGCAGTGCCTGTGCTCTCTTCCCCAGTGCCTGGGCACCAAGAGGCTGGGCTGGCAGGCAGGAGGAGCCCTTTGGGACAGAAGAGACCCTGAAGTGGGGGTCCAGACGTTGGAAATGGATAACCAGGGCTTCTGGACAGAGGTGAGTGGCCTTTGCCTCCATTGGATTATCTTCTGTGCCTGGGAGCTGGTGTTTCTGCAGCTCACAGGTTCTCCTGTTAGTTGGTGAGGATCTCTGGGGCTGGAGAAACCTGTGGGGAGCTGGAGGGCAGGGACCCTCACTCCAGCCTTCAGTGGAGGTGTTTCAAGTGCCCTCTTCCCTCTCCCCTGCAGGACCCTGAGGATGGTCACTTTGAGTGGCAAAGCACTTCTGCCTGAGGAGAGAAGCAGCAGCAGCTGGGGGGAGCTTGGAGAGGGGCTGTGTGTGGGAAGGAGATGCTGAGAAGCTCTCCCTGACCCTGTGGCAGCAGCTGCCAGGTGCTCCCTGAGCAGAATGCAGACTCAGGTGTGTAGAGGAATAATTTTGTAAATTTTATATCTTAAATAAACTGTTTGTAGACCGTGAAACCCAGTTGTGAAGGATGTGTGTCTGCTGTGGGGGTGGTGTTGAACCCACCTCCCTCCCTGGCTCCCAGTACCCTCCAGCCATGTGCTGCTGCTCTAACTGGTGCTGCAAGCTGGGCTTGGTCCTCTGCAGCTCTGGGATAACAGCCCTCATGCTGGGGAGGTAAAAAAGCAAGGATGTGCATGCCAGGGACCAGCCAGAGAGCTAACCTGGTCTAAGAGATGCATAACAGCTAGAGAACAAAGAAGGATCCTGAAATGACACGTGTATTTTAGATAATTACACAGAGATGATAAAGCATAGAAGAAGCCAGCTATAAGTACACTAATTTCATCTTATGAATAATGCCTATTATTAAATTGGTCAATTCCCATCATGTAATCAATATATCAGCAATAACCCTCTCAGGAAGTTGAGATAATACCTTCCTAAACAGTCATGCTTATGACAGGAAACTAAAACAAAGGAAAACACTAAAACAGCTTACAATCAATAACAGCCAAAATGTAGAATCGTCACTGCCTCTTACTGTTATCCATGGAAGAAAAAACAGCAATTGTATCAAAGATTGTAGTGAGCAATAGAATCCTTGACAAAATCAAGAGTGAACAGACTATGCTCTTTATCCACAAACAGGTGTTTATCAGTGTTTCATCACAGCTGTTTCAGTTGAACCTTGTCTTACCTCTTAAAGCAACTATATATCTTACAATGTAGAAAATATTTAACTGTCTTAGATTGCAATGCAAGATGTAACCAGATGTATTCTATTTCCATCTGTTAAAACCAGGTGGGGCAGTGTTCTTTATCTCTTCCATGACCCATCCCTCCTATCTCTGGGGAGGATATCTTTTGTAATGGGCCAGCTGTTAAAACCAGGTGGGGCAGTTTTCTTTATCTCTTCCACAACTAATCCTTCCTCCTGGAGATATCTTCTGTTAATGGGCCATTGACTGTCACTGCATGACTGATAAAATTCCATCTTCCCATTGTGAGATGCTCCACCCAGGGGGAGGAGCCAAGCATTGCTTCCAGGATATAATCTGAGACTTCAAACACCACAGGCAGTCTTTTCCACTGGATTCCCAGAGGAAGACCAGACCCTTCTACTTCACCAGTGGACCTTCAGAGGAAAACTCCCCTCTTCTGCAGGATCCTGCCTTCTGGAAGCAGACACTAAGCCAAGACAGTGTGGCAGGCAGCAGAGGAAGCTGCGGGCGGGCAGAGAACACTGCGGGCAGCAGAGTGCTCTGCCTGAAGTGGAGAGTGTGGCAAGGAACAGCAGGGAAAGCTACGTGGATCCAAACACCTTCGTGATTTACAGGCACCACTGGGATAAATGGGAGCGTGGGCATCAGTGCCAGAAGACCCTACACTCCAGGTATGGACTCTTACTTTAACAAGCAGACGGATTAAATATGATAAACAGGCTTTACTAGCCTTAATAAAGTGGTGTGGGAGCCACGGACTGGACGTGTCCAAAGAGGCAGCCTTGGACCTGAACACGTGGGATTGGGCTGGTAGATATATACTTGCAGCAGCTGCCACAGATGATGAAACTGCCATCAATGTTGTCAAACCCTGGGGGCTCATCCTGGACCTGATAAAACAGTTAGAGAGCGAACGAGACACGAGGCCAGTGCAGGGGATGGCACTGGGCAAGCAGGGGAGGGGAATGGGCAGAGCATCCTCCCCGGGAGGGGGTGACCTGTCTGCAGAATGCTCTGTGGCTGCCTGGGGCCGTGCCACTGCCCAGAGCAGGGACAATGTGCCAGCCAATCATCCCACCATGGCACAGAGCCGTGGAGCCAGCCCGCACAGGGATGAGATGCCAGTGGAGCGCAGAGTCACTGAACAAAGCAGTGGAGACACTCCACACTCCCGAGCTGAGTTACACAGGCGTCCTGCAGCCACCCTGGGTCCTGCCTCTTCTCTGTGCTCTGCTGCACCAGCCCTTGGAGCCACGACAAGCTGCCCTGCCTTTCCTCTGTGTCCTGCTGCTTCAACTAAGACCACAGAGACCACGACTGCCCACTGTGAAATGGCAAACTGCTGTGGAGCCTCCTCTGCCTCCTGCCAGGCAATGCTTGGCCACTGCAGGACAACTGGCTGCTGTGGAGCACATAGCTACTGCAGAGGGCTGCCTGCCACCGAGCCTGGCTGTGCCACAATGGCAAATGAGCACTGTGTGACCAAGCCTAGCTATACTGGCTCTGCTGCTGTGCTGCAGGGGTGCCCAGCTCTCGCAGAGACAAAGCACCTTACAGCTGTTCCAGTTATGCCTGTGCAGCCATTCCAACAGCATGCACCAGGGACACCTACATGCCCTGATACAGCACACACACCAGTACTGCCTCCTCCCAGAGCCCATTGGTCCAGCTCTGAGACTGCACCTTCTGCCCGGCCTCCACGGGGTGGGTCCAGCCGTCGCTGCAACTCAGGGGTGGGCCTGGAAAATACATCACCAGAAATCCCTGGAAGAAACAGCAGATCAGGGAATCCCTCAGCAGTGGCTGCAGTGACTGCACTGCCACTATCAGAGCAGAAGTTTGCTTTGGATTGTCTACCAGCAAAGGACGTGAGAGAGAACCAGAGCCATCATCCCTCAGCAGAGCCACAAAATACCATCACCACTGCCACGTTGCCAACAGCCCTGCCCAATCCTGTGACTGTTGGGCAAAAGGAAAACGATCATCTTAGTCTTCTGGAAATAAATCAAGAAGTTGCTCCAGCTGTTCTGTCATCTAAAATTGCAAAAGTCGAAGGCTGCATTCGGATGTATGAAGAGATGCACAGGCTGAGAGCAAGGGAGAGGCTGAGACAGCGGCAGGAGGAGCTGGAGCAGATGGTGAGGGCAGCCTATGCCCAGGCCAGTGAGCAGCTGAAGCGCTTTGATGAGCTGAGGGAGCTAAAGCAGCATCAGGAATTCCAAGAGTTGCAAGAAGTAATGGAGAAGAGCTCAAAGGAGGCTCAGAGGCAGCAAGAGAAGTTGAGGGAAGAACACCAACATAGAGCCAAGATATTGAACCTAAAACTGCGTGAGGCAGAGCAGCAGAGGCAACGTCAGGAAGAGCTGGAACTCTTGCGCAAGAAAGAGGGCCAGGAGAGGCTGCGCCACCTTTATTCCATCCAGGAGGAGCTGCTGCAGCTGAACCAGCAGATTGATCCCAACTACAGGCACAAAGATTTGCCCAGAATCAATCTGGCTGCCTACAGCAATCGTGGCAACCAGATCTGTGCACTGGTGTCAGGGCTCATCCACACCGCGAGCGAGAGAGGGTTCTCAGCTCCAGCAGATGTGGCCAGCTCTGAACAAGCCCTGCAGGAGATGCGAGGGTTGATATCCAGCATGCAGCAGGAAATCACTGCAGCTCTAGAAGAAAGGAAGAGGAAAGATGAAGAGGAAAAGAATCAAAAGCAGAAAGAGTTAGACAAAATAGAGCATATGGTGTGTCAGACTTTTGTACCTGCACAGCAGTCATGGGGAAAGCAGCAGAAGGAAGGACTTCAAGTTGAAACAGAAGAAAGTATCATGCAGTGGTACCGGCAGCTTCAGGATGCTGCTGAGCAATGTGTTGCTGCTTTCAGTGAAATTGCAAACTGCAAAGGCAACACTGAGGTGAAGAAGATAAAAACAAACTTGCAGAAAGCAGCTACAATCCCTGTGAGCCAGATCTCTAGCATATCAGGCTCTAAGCTGAGAGAGGTGTTTGATAAGATCAATAACCTGCTGTCTGGGAAGCCTGTTCAGACTGAAGGGCAAACGGTGTTGGTGACTCAGCATCCACAGGGGCTGGAGTTTGTTTGTTACAAACTTGCAGAGAAGTTTGTGAGACATGGGGAAGGAGAAGTATCTTTTCACCACGATTCAGCTTTCCCAATTGCTGTGGTGCTCTCAGGAATCTGGGAATTACACCCTCGAGTTGGAGACATCTTTTTAGCTCATCTGCACAAAAAGTGCCCATATTCTGTGCCATTTTACCCTGCTCGGAAAGAAGGGACTTCTACAGAAGAGTATCA